TGGCGGATGGTGGGCCCAACAGCACTGCTCCGGCCGGGCGGCCCCTTCTCGCGTGCCGGACTACCGTGCCTCACGGTGCAGCGCTGAGCTGATAGCACCGGACCACCCCCTCTACCTCTATCTCCTCATACTCCTCCCCCGTCTACCCCCCCCCCTTTTCTCTCTGTTTCTCTCTTGGCCTCGCACACTTACAGCGAACAGCACGCCTTCTCACCCGCACCCTTCTCTCTCCCCCTCCTTGCATCCCCACACCATTTTCTCTCTTTCTCTCTCAACGCATGTAAATAACTGATGCCCCCTAGCTCCTGGTCCCAGCGGCCGGCAGGCTCAGCCCAAGGCCATCCTGCTCGTAGTTGTTCCAATTACCGGAACAAAGTTTGGGAAGCGTACGCGATAGGGGTGCCTCCCCCCTCCGTCCCCCACATCCTGGAGGAGCAGCGCACTCGGGCCGCCCCCCATCTCGTTATGTTGAGCAGGCTTGCAGGTTTTCGCGGATCAAGCTACGGCCGCCCTCCACCGGGAGCCCTCCCCTCTGGCCACCGCAAGTACACGGTGGACGCTATTGTTCTCCGGCGTCTGCTTGCTGCCCATGATTGTTCTCCTGAGACTTTTCGTGGAATAGTATCAACGTGTCTTCCTAACAAGAGACGATCTGCTGCGCGTGCTATTCCACGAAATCACATTTACGGCGCGACGATTTAACAATGTTACACGGGTGGCGTAGGCCACCGCCCACCCGGGGCTAAAAGTGCTGATGTGCACTCTGAACGGAGGGCCCGCGCATAGCGCGAGTGCGACTCGGGAGTCTGTGTGCGTCGTCCAGGGATCACGGGAGTCGTGAGGAGCACCAGGGAGATATCGCACGGAAAAAAAATTAGTTCTCCCAACTAAAGTTTAAGTTGAGTCCCGGATAACGAAGAAATTTTGGCTCCAGCAACCAGTTTTTGATTGTAACAACCAGCATTAAGTCGAGGGAACGACGCCGTTGTTGGGAGAACAAACGCAATCCTTTCCGTGGACAAGGCAAGGTTTCGTTCTCCCAACAACGGCGTCGTTCCCTCGACTTAATGCTGGTTGTTACAATCAAAAACTGGTTGCTGGAGCCAAAATTTCTTCGTTATCCGGGAATCAACTTAAACATTAGTTTGGGAGAGCTAAAAAAAAATTTTCGTGCGGTATTGTACACGGGTAACCTGAGGCTCTCATTCCTTGAACCCCATTTGACCGTAAGGTCCCCCAGACCAGAACTGGGCTGCAACCCTAACGGCTACACGGTTCGTCCCTAAACGGCTTGGGTCGGTCTCGTTATAGTTGTACAACAGTGTATAAGTACTGCGTGCAAATAGACCTAAATAGGCGAATGGTTCATACCTGAACTCGACCGATTGCATGATACGGCAAAAACAATGTCTGATTTTTTATGGGAAAGGGGAAAACTTTGAGGAACTCTTAGGAAACCCCCTAGATTTCGAGGAAGTTTCCTCCAAAAGCATGGGATTTTCTAGAAGATTCCTCAAAGTCTGAGGCGAAATCTACTCAAATTCTGGAGTTTTTCAAAGTTTTCCCTTTTCCCTTAAAAAAACAGACATTGTTTTTACATATCTACTCATCGTCATAAACATTCAAATAATGCATATAGTAAGCAAAATGGAAAAATACACAACGCCTCACATCACCCGGTGGGCCGGTGGAATAAATGAATAGAAGTACGTTGACTACATGCAGGGACCACTGCAGGGCGTCGTAACTTAGCCAATTGCCTGTTTGCCTTATATTTCCTGAACGGTGCACACATCGATCATCGATGCAAACCAAATTTCATTGCGGAGAACTAATGGTACCGGGATTTTGTCAGGCGATCCTGTTTGAATAAACGTGCGAAATGTGATGCCTTCAATAATTTCGCTATTTAATTTATTATGTTTTTTTTTTGTTTTTTTTCATTTCAGTGTAGACCGCGCGGCGCGGACCGTGGCCAGCCCTTAGGCCCTACGCTTAGGCCTCCGGGTGATAAGCGCCTGCTGTGGGGCCCTCGAGGTCAGGTCACCTTGACGCCACGCCCTGCCACGCCCCGCCCTGCCACGCCCCGCCACGCCACGCCTCGGCAAGCTTTATTGCTCGGCCAGCTGCGAAGAAAACGACGGAGGACGACGACATCCACTGGATGTTATTAGAGCAAATTCAACCTGCATTATTTCGGAGCCGTTTTTGCTATCCTAGCCTATTTCTACTTGCGTTTTGTTCTTTGTGTTTGCGACACAGAACAGTGAAAGACACCTTTTAAAAAATATCAAACTTTTTACCTGTGTGGTGTGTAAGAAACAAAAAATTCCTAACACAGAAGGTTCGGTCCTTGTGCTGCTATGGTAAAAAAGTTGTGAGATAGCACACACATAGTCATTACCATATACTACACCGTGCGGGGTCGGGGAGGGGTTAAATAGTTTTTTCTGCAGTGCACCCCCCACTCTTTTATTTTCATACCCTTTTCCAAATCATATATTTAGAAAAGCACCAAAGAAAGCCCGAACTTTATGAGAACCAGAGCGCCACATTGCTCGCGCCATCACCGCCTTACGGCCGGGGCTCCCTGCGGGCAGTCGCCGTAAGTCATACATCATCGCATCGCCAGACAAATCTACATGTGGAACATACGACGCATGAAACTCTTCCTCTCCGTGTGCCGCCGAGAAAGAGATAGGGTGGAGAGGGAGGGATGGGAGAGAGAGCGAGAAAGAGAGACAGAGAGAGACAGAGATGGGGGGGCGAGAGACACGCATACGCGTAGGCCGTAGGATCCGGAATTGTTGAGAAAGCTGGAGCATATATTATTTTCTTCCCCTGCCTCTTGCGCCTATCCCTTCTTGTCTCTTCCGAGTCAATCATATGGTTGTTTCGTTTCGCTCCGCGGCGGGGGTGTGGCCCCTCTCTGCTCCTCCTGTGCGCTGCACGCCGACGCTACACCGTGGCCCCGCGGAGCAGCCCGCTTGTGACCCTGCTGCCGACCCAACCCCCTGACCCCAACCGACCAAGACCTCACCCTCCCATATCCCCCTCGAAAGTCCCCCCCCCCCTTTTCCCCGCTTTCCACACCGACTCCCCCCCCTCCCCTTTCCTTTCCCATTTACCAAACGGTCTTATCGAGGTTGCAGAGCCCCTAACCCCCAGTCCACCCCCACTCCTACCAGTAGCTCAATTAGTTTCATAGCGAGCGCTGAGGTAGAATTAAGCTCTCTTGGCGTGTGAGCCAAGAGAAAAAGTACAAACACAGAGGCAGTGGCATTTCGTCCGTTTGTGATTATTTGCGTCCAGTGTTTGCGACGCGGTTCTGCTCGCGGCGCGCCGGGAAAAGCTGTATTTGAGGTGATGACACTCGCGCAAGGTCGTAACGGAGACGCGCGGCGCGCCGGAGGCGGGGCGGGGCGGAGCGGAGCGGCGCGTCCTGTGAGACATGCATACGGCTGCGCTGCCTGCGGTTTACGGGCTCGCAGCCCAAAGCCTACGAACTTCGTGCCGGCACACACTGTTGAAAGCCTATACGATGTCTTGCTGCGTCTCAGAGCTAGCTGTGGAGACTGCGAGTACTTCGTTATTGCGAAGCAGTGCTTTGTTTCGCAATCGCAAAAATTGCTTCGGAATCACAAACCATTGCTTCGCAATTTCAAATGCGAGTAGTCATCCTTGTTAGTCTACAAAGCATCGGAATTCTTTGCAATTCGCTAAGCGTCTCACCGCAAAAGCACATTGTTTTGAAAGAATTTAACTGCAGTGAATAACTACACTCGACGTCTGCTTGCCAATAGGAGTGGACCATAGTGAAATCGCAAGATCAGAAGAGGAGCCATTGTGTCAAGTCAAAATGGTGACATAACCAAAGTAGCGAGTGTATCCAACTGACGAAAAATATGGTTTGGGTTCTAAAATATGGAACTGAATGTTTCCCTCTGTGTGAGTAAAGATGTAGGGGAGGGTTGTTGGACATGTGCAGGCAAGGGTGGCCGAAGAAGAAAAAAACAGACGTTCCTCCGAGGGGTGGGCGACTTGAATTTTTCGTGTACACAGGAGTACGGAGTACACGGAGTACA